TTTGTGCTAAGCAGGAGTTCATTGCTACAGGGTCGTTGAAGTCCTAAGTCGGTGTTAAACATGAGTAGACGCCCGGAATTTGGGTCATGGCAGAGATAGGGCGCAAAGTGTCTGAAGCAAAAATAAGTAGTCGCCAGGTTAACCTTTCCGTTCACTTGAAGCAGACGCGGGTTAAGGTGGACAAGCGTGGTCTGCACGTCGTCAACAATAATCAATAAATATTTCAGTTAATTGAAATATTACAGACCATACGTAATTTTGATGTGAAAACGAGTGTCGCAAATTCTTTTCACTATTTTTTTTATAAGTGGTGATTCCTCCGAAATGCCCCGTACTTGGACTTCCTGTTAGTCCATTTTAAGCCATTGTACTGTATTTAATCATTCAATGTCAGTCGGGGAAGTATTTACTATGTAAATAGTCAACTTTTCCTAACGAGCCTGTGGTGGTGATGATTAGGGCTGGAGACATTGACCTCTGGAAAACGAAACACTTCCGGCGGCATGCCTCTGCGCTGAGGTTTCTTTGTGTGCCACGCAACACGCCTGTCATCCTTTTTTCACTGTAGATAGTCAATATTGCCAATAAAAGCGAAGAAACGAGTCCCAGGAAGCAGCTGTGAAGAGGGAGACACGATCGCTGGGACAAGAGCTTTATTAGCCTGACGTTTCGGATTCCTGCTCGAACCCATCATCAGAGACAACAGCAGATACGGGTCTGCTATTGTCTCTGATGATGGGGTCAAGCAGGAAGCCAAAACGTCAGGCTAATTAAGCTCTTGTCCCAGCGATCGTTTCTCCTTCTTCATAGTCAACGACTAGTAAGTTAGAAATGGCCATCCCATCCCCCCTTGCCTTCTTCGGTACACTCCCTGCATATGTTACCTGCCGCAGTGCCACGGCTCTAAACTGGGTCCCATGATGCAACGAGGTGGGCAGAAGAGGCCGTGCCTGTGCATTAGGTGGGCTAACTCACGAAATGTCAACCGAAATTCCGAAATGCGTTTTAGTTTCGAAAAGATTAATTAAGCAGGCTTGTAATACTAATCGTTTTGCAGCGTAGTTTTACAATAATCTAGTTACCTCAGGATGCTGGCTTTAGAGCACACTTCCTTCCGGCCGCATACAAAAATCATACTCTGTAAAAAATGACTACTTAGGTAGCGTGCATTTTTCTCATTGGTTTTCGATGCCCCTAAAGATGCAGGTATACTTCATGGAAAACATGCATAAAAATATTTATTCTTTCATTTATTCGGTTGAAAATGACGTGTTCCTTCAATTTTATACTCGAAAGAGCGGCATAATTCGGTTTGAAAAAAGTTTCTAATTGTGAGACTTTTTAATACCGTGAAATGGCCGTTCATAAAACGTCATGTCACTGCATTTATCAATGTAGCTTGTAAATTTAACAATATGCATCAAATCCAATGCTACATTTTATGAAACCCATATAGTCTCCTCTGAATACCTTAGAGAAATGTGTGGTGTTCCGTATGCGAAAAATACATAGCTTGTAGTTTGGAAACCCTGAATGAAAGTGTGACGGCAGAGCGGGTTCAAAATTATTCGGGAATAGGAAACGTTTTTGAAAACCGAATTATACCCTTCGTTCGAGTATAAATTTGAAAGAAGACGTAATTTCCCACCGAATAAGCAGAAGAATGAATATTTTTACGCATGCTTTTTATGAAATATGATTGGATTTTTAAGGGCATCAAAAATCAATGAGAAAAATGCATGCTACTTAAGCAGTCATTTTCTACAGAGTAGTTTTTGCATGCAGCCGAAAGGAAGTTCGTTCGAAAGCCGGCATCCTGATGTAACTGAATTATGATAGAATTATGCCGTTCGATGGTTAGTTTTACAACCCTACTTAATTAATCTTTTCGAAACGAAAACGCATTTCGGTTGACATTTCGTGAGTTGGCCCACCTACTGTACTTCCCCCCACCCTCCGAAACCTACCGTAACTCTGTGCCCACTCCTCACGCGCCAGCGGTCTCCTTGTGTGCCCTATGGCCCTAAGCGCCCTAATGTGACAATCTGATGTTCATGTAGTCAAACGACGGTCTGGTGTCTTCAGCTCGGAAATTGCCGATATTAGCTAAAAGGTGAGTTTCTGGGAGCAGTCTCGACGAAGGGTCCACAAGCCTTAGCCTGACTTTCCAGATTCTCATTCGAATCCGTCATCGGAGGCAAAATCAGATAGGGGTGGTGGGTCGCGCATGTGTTGCAGTATTTATAGGTATGCAATTGCTATGCCACTGAATACCTATCAAAATTGGCAGCTTCCGAATGCATCGCAGGAAGTTGCTCGTGTCTGATTGGCCAGGTGCTATGCGCCAGCATGCATGCATGTCAAAGTTACCGGCATCCGCATCTATTGCAGGCGGTGTGTTAATGTCCTAACTGCCCGCAGTCCAGTTGTTGCTTGTCGAAATGCCATCACCAATGGGGGCGCCTGGGCCTATTTGGCTCGCTGACGCTGGCACCAGGAGCAGTGGTCATCCGCGCAGTCAACTACTTTGGCTAGGCAAAGTTCTAGCACAGAATATGAAGCGGGTAGGTCATTGCGCCTGTTAATCGACTGAGGACCGAAAAAATCACGACTCGAGTAGTTCACGGCTCACCCGGCGCCAGGTCATGAACCCGAAAGACCCACCGCCAAAGTGAGAAACGTCTGGAATCATTTACCGGGTCTGGTGCAGTTGTGGGCAAAGCAACTGTGTCGGAAAAACTGGAAGGCTACTCCGGACGTGGATGGCCGAGCCAGCAGAAGTAAGGAGGAACGACGCCTACTCCCAAACGCGGCTCATTCGACAGGATCCGGCCACACATTCAAGGCCGAAATTCTTGCGAGAGGTGATAACCGCGTTGGCCGTAAATTACTTGAGTCGTTGTTTTCCGGCCCTCAGTCGATTAAGAGGCGCAGTGACCTCCCCGCTTCGTATTCTACGTTGAGACTCTGCCTAGGCGAAGTAGCGGACCTCGTCTGGTGTGACCGTCTCACTTCCTCCTTTGTCTTCACTTCTTATGACGACGGGCTGGTGTCACCGACTTGAAAATTTAGGAGTACAACTAGATTGTTTCGGAAAAGCATCCTCTTCCTCCACACACACATATACATGAAGAAGGGTGATTGAACGCCGGAATATTCTGTTTATTGTCTTGAGCTTTTGAACTCGTGGAGGAGTCCATCGGCAGCAGCAGCACAAGCGACAGTTATAGGGCGTGTTAGCCAATCATCGACCGAAGGCACAAAAGTGGAGGTGACTGCGAAGGGCTCTGTACGCCGGCACCAGATCGATAAATGGATTGACTGAGTTCTGATCCGTAGTCCAAGCTCCAGTCGATTCTCGGCCTGTTTTGTTTACAGCGTGGGCGACTATTTTGGTGACTGCGAAGTTAAACTCGTGACCCATTTCGTAGGTGTGGGCGGCCACCTGAGATAATGCGTCGCCTCGTCGCACAGACAGCTTATACTCGTATATACTCGACACGGACATGCGTCCAGTCTGGCCTGTGTAGTTACGAGGACAGTTGTGGCACGGGATGCGATACATTACTCCAGATTGCTCCTCCTCTTCTTCACTTTTACGTACACCTGGAACTCGAAGTATATATTTCCGCATTCACATCATGCTCCAGTGGCAAGACTGAAAATGAGCGTGACTGAAGTAGGTGCAGCCGCGCCCATGACTGCAACACAGGCTGAAATCCCCTTCTTATCAGGATATATGAGCCAACTTCAGGATTCACATGCAATGTTTCGAATAAGGATTTGATCCGTTTGAAAGGCACGCTTAGATCACCTGCTATTTTGACGACAACAATGCCCTAAACTGTCGAAATTGTTGCCTTAAGCGCAGCCTTTGTTACATTTTCGGGGATCTGATGAGAATCCCATTTCAGCCCGCGCGTAGCACGTGAAGACGTGGCTTCAGCTACTGCGCCCGCACTGCCTTACCATTGGATCATAGTGGGGGTGGGAATAGGCGCTGCACAAGTCTGTGTCACTGAGATCAAATTTAGACGCAACACGGAACTGTGCCCTCCCCTGGCCATTGATGGGCTTCGCCGTTTCAGACAGACGAAATAATTATTTTGTTAAGCCTAAAGCAGTTCTCCTCTAGTCTAATCTCTCTCCTTGCCCGAGGGCATGTATTTTTGACCCTTAGAGGGACAACACGCTCTCAGTAAGTCCCGTAGAAAAAAAACTAGGCTCTCATGCGTATCATTTTATTCTCGTCTTTGTAGTTTTGCATAAAAGTTCGTCACTTCTACCATCCGGATTCTTCTTTGCGGGCAACGGATGCTTGCCCCTCTTCTGACTTTATACATATATATACATAATACATATATATGTATAGTTTAAGGTCAGAATTATGCGCCAAATCGATGAAATAAATTGCAAGTCAATCACCTGGCATTCCTAATCACCGTCCATGCTGTGCACTTTAACGGTGCGTAGGTAGTACGGAGCATGATATTGTGTACGGTTTTCGCCCGTCGGATGCTCCTCCTGCCTCCCCTGCGTTGCCTCCCTCTCCCAAAAGTGAACCGCTACCACATCCTTCTCTTCAGAAGTCCATCCGACGTAGAGTCTGTTTAGTAGGAGTCCGTGTTCCACCGGCTGTTCCTGCAGGACGCCGCTCCGGCCTCCCTGTTGTTCCTCTTCTCCGAGTAGCCGTGTGATTGTCCCGCCGCGGTCCTCTGTCAGTTCCACCTTAGTCCCACACGCGTAGAGACCGTCAGGTGTTGCCGGCGCGGACGACGATGTTGTCAGTAGGCGCGACCGACCTTCAGCGGCCTTGGCTTTGCGGTAGCAGAGCACAGCCACAATGGCGGCTGCGAGGATCATCACCAGACTGCCGCCGAGGATGAGGGCAAAGAGGAGAGCATTGTTGGCCGCCAAGCGGGCCACTCTCGCCTCCCCGTCCGGGTAGACGACTTTCAGGGGAAACAGCACGGAGGCTTTTCCACGCTTGTTGCCTGTTTCGCACATATACAAGCCATCATCCCTGCCCGGTTGGACGCTGAGGAGGGTAAGGTTGGTCTGCTGTAGTAGCAACTGCCCGTCGGCCTGCATCGTGGATTCCTGCTGCTGCTGATGCTGCTTCAACCGCTGCCAGCCGGTCTGTCGCTCAATCACTTGATCATCTTTGTACCAACGGATGTAGCCTCGGGGTTGAACATGAAAGTTACAGACTAGGGTCACGGTGGCGCCGACCTCCGCTTCGTGGACCTGCGTGGTTTCCCCGTTGAGGGCCACTGGGGCGCATTGAAACTCACTGTGCGGCAGGGAGAAGAGAGGTCGATTGGCAAGAGCCTCAGGCTGTGAACAACGCGGTTCACTCCCCGCTGACGACGACGACGCCGCCGCCTCATCTTCGCCTGATCTCCACCGCAGATTCGCGCTGATCCAGCCGAGATGGCAATCACAGTTCCAGCGGTTGCCCTCAAGTCTCACCTCTTTCAACCTCGGCAGGCGTCCCAGCTCCTCGGCCAGGAATGCAGGCAGCGTGGTGAACTTATTGTGGGCCAGACTCAGTCTCTGAAGTGCCGTCATGCCCTCGAAGCAATGCCTCTGGAAGGTGACATCGCGCACCATAGTCTCAAGCCGTAGATCCACCAGATTCACCAGGGATTTGAAAATCTGCCCGGGCAGGTAACCAATGGGATTCTCTGATAGGTCCAGTACGCGCAGACCACCTAGGGTAGCTAGAGCCCTTGTGTCAAGACCGCCAGGCTGAATGGCTAATTGATTCCCCCTCAAGTAGAGCTGCTCGAGGTGAGGTAGGCTGTGAAACGCCTCCTCGGTGATCCTCCACAAACGATTACTTTCCAGTCGCAAGATCCTCAGCCGCGGGTAGGATTTGAAGGAATCCGCATGCAGGATCTCAATGGAGTTGTTGGAGACATCGAGGTCATCTATTGCCCTCTCCGGCTCACCGATCAGTGCAGGCACTTCCTTCAGACCCTGTCCTCTGCAGGCGTAGCGTCCCGTGTTTGGCATCGGGGGACACCTAGTGGTTGCCAACGTTCCCATCAACAGCAAAAACCCACTGACAGCTGTCCTGTCCATGCGACGCTGATATGATGGCATCGCACTGAGTTCGTCTCTGCGTTTGACTTGAGCAGGGCTCTAATCAGACGCGTGCGCATGCTTGATCTCCCCCTCCACTTTGCGCGCTACCAACACCATCCCCGGCTAGTCACGATCGGGTATTCTGATTGGTTCAGATGATGGACTGCAAACGGCGACGTTCGCTCGCCATCGTTGTGCCAGGGGGCGGAGGGTTTCTTGGCCGCCTCGGGACAGATGTGCACGCGTACGGCTATCAGTAGAGTAGACGAGTACTGGTTTTAGTCAATCCCAATGGTGTAGGGCTGAGTTAGCTACGCGGTTAACCCCTCTCTCCACCCCACCCCCCCCCCCCGCCGGGCGTGCATGCGAGCTGACGTCAGCGGCTATTTCGGTTGGACTGTGGTGGATCTTGGGGGGTGGAGGTGCCGCATGCCTCGAGGGTTATTGCGCAGGCGGTTATTATTGCGGTTTCTCCGTGGCGGCTGCCAGCTCACTGGTCAGATTCTTGCCCCGTTTTTGGTCATTGTTCGGGGATGTGGCTTTGAGCTGGTTGATTAGACACCAGTCGAAGTCTAGATTTTACCAGTTGTGGCTGGGAACGCACTCACCTATGTGCCGACGCCCACCATGACGGAGACAGGAGTTTGGGGGGAGGGTTGCTTAAGTGGAATCACCGACCAGCCATGCTTTACCCAGAAGCAGGGGAAGTCTCCGAGTAGAACTCGATTTTCTCGCCTCATCAGGCAACGCTAGTAGACTCCAGCGCAGCAGTTCCGACGGGCGAAAGTGGCTATTGATCTGCCAAACGGAGAATATTCGATCGGAGACGTCTCCTGTGTCCGGCTTGGAGATGCCTCACTGTACTGCGACGCCGGACTACACGGGACTAGAGGGTTTGAACTGTTGGCTCTACTCAAAAAAATCTTCCAGTGCACAACATCATGAGCTAAGAGCGGTCTCCATCGCATCTGGGTAATTTCTTCCCGTCACCGTCTGACTAACTGACGTTTCAATTGGTTTATACCTGGTGGCAAGTAGCACGCGAAATCGCCATCATGGTACATTTTCAATGAAAGCGGTTGCGGCCTGCAGGTGATACCTGTCGTCACGCATCTCTGTTTATCGTCGTCGGACTTCCGTCACAGTTAACGTTAACCTGGGTCATCATCCTCATGCACACAGTAAATGTGGCATGCAAATGACCACCATGTATCACTTGCACTGCGAGGGCAGTTTTTTTGTTTAAATTGCACCTTTATATGTTTCTGCACTTTCTAGACCCTGAATGTACTTAATCCTCTCCGCGAATGCCCCATTGAAGTGCTTCAGGATACCGATCTCGCGGGTCCGCTGGTCTTCTGCCTCATATTCGGTGGCACGCTGCTTTTGGTAATGATTCTTTGTATATATGCATATAATTTTAATTGAAAGGGCCCTTATCGATCAGCGTGCTGTCCCGTTGTGCCTTGGTTCAGGCAGTCGAACATAGTTCATGTAATGTTAACCAAATTTCTCTAATGCGTTTTCGTTTCGTAAGGGTTACTTTAGTGGGATTTTAATGTTGGTTATCATGCAGCAAAACCCCAAGATATTTTGGCCACGTTAGGATGTCGGCCATTGAGTGCAATTCTCCGCGGCCACCTGCGAAAACCGCTCTCGGTAAAAAGTGGCCACAGTAGGTGGGCTAACTCATGAGATCTTAACACAAATTCCGAAATGCGTTTTCGTTTCGAAAAGATTAATTAAGTAGGGTTGTAAAACTAGTCGGCCTGCAACATAATTCTATAATAATTCAGTTACCCCGGACGCTGGCTTTTGAACAAACTTCTTTTCGGCTGCATCCAAAACCATACTCCGTAAAAAATGACTACTTAAGTAGCATGCATTTTTCTCATTAATTTTCGATGCCCTTAAAGATTCAATTATATTTAATGGAAAGCATGCATGAAAATATTCATTCTTTCGCTCATTCAGTAGACAATTACGTATTTTTTCAATTTTATACTCGAAGGTAGGGTATAATTAGGTTTTGCAGAAGTTCCTAATTGTGAGATTTTATAATACCGTTAAATGGCCCTTCGTAAAACGTCATGTCTCTGCATTTACCAACGTGGCTTGTAAAGTTAACAGTGTGGCTCAAATACACTTCTTAGAAAATATACGGAACAGTCCACATCCATTGCAAAATTTCATGAGCATTATGTGATATTTTCCCAATGGTATAAAGTAATATATAATTTTTCTTACATGTCAAGCACAGCTTCTAGAGTGTAAATCTTAAACACAAATGCAACGAAAGATCGGGCTCAACAACGTTTTTAAAACCTAGAGGTGCTCATTTTCAAGTGTAAAATCTGAAGATATGATCTGCTACGAAACGTGTATAAGGTAAAATATTTTTGAATGTGCTTTCTATAAAGTGTGTTTTCACTTATACAAGGGCATCGGAAAATGAGAGAGCGATTTATAATACGTCCGTAGTCATTTTTTACCGAGTGTGGTTTTTACATGGGATCAAAAAGAAGCGCATTCAAAATCCGACATCTCGGATTGACCGAAAAATACCTTAGGATTATTCTGTGCAATAATTAATTCTACAACACGACTTAAGTAACCGTACTTGAAAGTGCAGCTTAGAATTTCGGCTAACATTTCATGAGCTTGGTCGCTGACTGCATGCTTTGATAATTCCTTGGCAAATGTCACTCGCATTAAATCACATTTTCACCTTTCGCTTTTGTGAAAAAAAAAACTTATTATCGCAAGCAGTAGCGACCACCAGCCCTACCGAGTGAGCCACAGGCCCGTTGTCCTATAGGTTTCGATAAGGAATGTTAGCTTATAGTGGTAATGCGTCCACCGACTGGGTTATGGGACATGGAGACAAGGAATACGTCCTTAAATGGCCATTTCTGGCTTCTGAGACGTCGTCAGTCAGTCAGCTCTGCCCAAATCCAGATTTGCACCACCTGCGCAAGACTTGACATAAATGGTAATGTTCTCACGAACTAGCGAGTTATATCTCGCGAGCTGCCCACGACGACCGTAGACTGCAAGTAGTTTTGGTCTCGCATTATGCTCAAGTGTTTTACCGGCGCGAGTCTGCTGCCCAGTGTTGAGACCGGGTCACGTGTGTGGCACGCGCAGACGGACTGTCTAGCCTTGTCAGTCACCGGTCCAGTCCTGTCGATACTTGACTGACAGGGAGGAGATAGTGCAGCCACCACTGGGAATCCGTCCGCACAGAAAATCAGCGCATTTCGTACCACGATAAATCCAAGACACGTGAGTCTGGCGCGTGCCAGCCGCTGCGTCCGCGCCGAACCTCGATCTCGTCGAAGCAAGGCAGATGAGGGGGAGGGGGGATTGCAGTAGTTGCGTGGCACGTGCTATTGTCCTACTCAGGCGATTCCAGGCTGTGCGTGACTCGTAGACGAGGCCCAACCAAGCCGGATTCCGTGTTGGACGTGGATGCGCAGGCCAGATATTCACACTGAGGCGCATTCTCGAATTTCGCCATAGCTACCAACAACCGATGGCCGTCTGCTTTATTGACTTTGCCGCCGCATTTGATTCCGTTCATCGTGAGTCCCTGTGGCGGATAATGGTGCTAGATGGTGTACCGGCAAAAATCATCGCCACGATCAAGGCCTACTATCGCTCCACCACTGCGAGAGTCCTGGTCCGCAGGAATCTTCCCCAACCGTTCGGTATTTGGTCTGGCGTTCGACAGGGTTGTATCCTGTCACCCATTCCGTTCAACTATGCTATTGACTGGATCCTCGGGAGGGCCCTACACGAGGGTGACGGCGTTGAGTTGGCACCCGGACACCGACTGACTGATTTCGACTATGCCGATGATATAGCCTTACTTGTTTCAAGTTTTGGTGATCTGCAGTCTATGGTGTCACGGGTGAACGAGGTCGCTTAATCGGTCGGTTTATCCATAAACGCTGAGAAGACTAAAGTGTTTTCAAGCTGCATCCCTGACCAGGAGAAGCGACCCCTCGGGATTGATAGCTGTCAACTTGAAGAAGTAGACAGTTTTAAATACCTCGGGGCGAGGCTGCTGCCTAATGGACAGAGTAAGGATGACATTGTCTCCCGAATTGATGCTGCCCACTGGGTTTTCTCAAGCCTTAGCAAATGCCTATGGAACCGACGTGACCTCTCCATCGCCACTAAGATTCGCGTGTACCGTGCATCTGTCCGGTCTGTCCTTCTCTACGGTTGTGAATGCTGGGCTTTGCGCGTGGAGGACGAGCGTAAACTGGAGGCATTTGGCTACCACTACTTGAGGACCATCCTTCGAGTGAAGTTCACCGACTTCGTCTCAAATGAGACAGTCCGCGCTCGCTGCGACAACATCGCAAGGATAATTCAGGCCATCCAGGAAAGACGACTGAGGTGTTTCGGGCATGTTCTTCGTCGTCCACCTCAGGAGGTCAGTGTTACTGCCCTCGATCCGGCACCGTTGCCCCATTGGAGGCGTCGAAGAGGGGCTCAATTAAAAACCTGGCTCGACACAGTTCGGGGAGAGGTACAGTTCGTGACATCATCGAGGCCGGCCAGATCAGGCATGATCGCAGCCGTACAAGTGTAAGACTAACATGGACCCTGTCGGAGACCTGGTTTGGTTGAGAAATACTCACCCCAATTTGACTCTAACCCAGCCTACTGGTGTCTCCCTGCGAAATTTCGTCTAATCCTAGTCGGCCTTTGGGGTGCATTTTCTACTGTTGAACCTCCGCTCCTTGTGAGTCGATTGCACTTGGGAATTGACTGACAATGAGGCCGGACTGAGTTGTAATCTTCTCTTGGGTCACTTGGTTTTTTCTCCCCTATCTGATCGTAATCTCACGGAGAAAGACGAACGCAGTAATTGTTTCCTTCAGGCGGGTGATTCTTGACTGACTCGCAATTTGCATTCAGATTCGCTCTGTCGATCCCGCATCATTACCTGTCTACTCTTAGGCTTCTGCGGTTTCATTATACGAATCAGCTTTTTTTCCTGCCGTAGCCCGTAATCTAATTAGTGTGGAATATATGCAGACAGGAGCAGTCAATAGGAGAAACAGCCAACCGCTGCGCCGAATATTTTCGGTTTATTTAATTACGCAGCTCCAGCCACAGTACTATGGCGTTTTGTCTTTCTCCTCCTCCTCATCCTCGCCGTCGTCTTCTGCCATTTTAAGTCAAAATAGTTGTCCCTCAAAGCCTTTTAGGAACCCGCTTAGTTTACAACTCAATTGGTTGCTGTTCCTGGACGGGAAAGTGTTCCGGTTCTAGGAAAGTCCTGCCAGAGCGGGCGGTCCCTTGTCCTTGAAACTCCCAAAAACCCAGTTCATCACCAGTGCGCCGGACAGGGTTTTGTGTGTGCGTTAGCTTGCTTGAGGAATGGTTTCCAGCTGTTCGTGGATTCGAAGGTGGATTTCTCCACCCCACCCTCCACATCTGCACACCAGCTTGCGACCTCTGGTATCCCGTTGAGCGGCAAGTGAAGGCTTACTTTAGGTCGAGCAGCATTCGCGATGTTGTGATGCCGATCCCCTCGGATCGGTGCCCAATCACATCTGAAGGTTTCAGTTTCAGTTTATTAAGGGAACTAGAGGTGAGCGCCTTTGAATTTCCTATTGGTTACAAGTCGTCTGAGAAAAACATTGATAATTGGGAAGATGAAAACGGGATTTTGTACATAATCGCGGACAGCTGACAGCTAGTAGAAAAAGTGTAATCATTAACGGGTACTTACTAACTACAAGTAGTATAAACATGTTTATGTTGGTGCTGGGTTATGTGAGTTGATGTGAGGCTGGTAATGGGGAAGCTTGATACGCGTCAACTCTACACTTAAAGGAATTCACACAGGAGGAGGTTGCAACATCGGTAGGCAGGGAATTCCACGCTGTAACCACTCTGTTACTGAAAAAGAACTTTCGTCCATTGATCCTTGCTTTCCCTGCGCGTAGTTTTAGGTGATGACAGCGCAAAGTTGGCGTGTTAGCTTGAGTGAAATAATCAGTGGGATCTAAACAACGGCCTAGGCCGCTGACAATGCAAATGTAATTGCCTGTAGGAAAGAGGAATTAGGTTAAGAGTTGACATTCTGGTTTCATTTGGCAGAGCTCCCAGACCTTGTGTCATTTTGGTCGCCCGTCTCTGGACCTTCTCCAAGACGCTGTAGTCCCTGGCAGTCCATGGCCTCCACGCCTGTATGGCGTATCCTAGATGTGGCCGCACGTAGGTGCCGAATATTTTGGAAAAGCAGTCAGGGTCAAATCCCGTAAACGCCCGCCTAATGAGTTGCAATGTAGCCGTAGCCGATTTAGCCGCCTTCGCGCAGTGCAGTGTTGGTTTGAGTGAAGATGTAATCCATACACCCAAGTCCTCCGACTGTCAACCTGTTGCGGTGATGTTCCGTGTAGAAAGTAAGTCCTGGGGCTAAAGGCTCTGAAGATTTCGAGTTGAAGGAAGTTGCACTTGCTTACATTGAAGGGCATAAGCCAGCGCGTCGACCAGTCTTCGAGCCTGTTCAAGTTTGCTTGCAGGTGGTCTGCGTCTGCCGCATTGTGAATTACTTTCCATTTACGCCGTCGGCAAACAGGATGGCATCACAATCTAGGTCCTTGACGCAGTCAGTTATGAAAACGAGCAATCACGTGGGACCTAAGACTGAGCCCTGTGGGACGCCACTCACCACGCTTACCTCTAAGGATACTGTCGCTTGCCCGCGATGGGACACGCAGTAGATGTGCCGGACAAACACGGGGGAGGGCCAGATCAGGGCACGGTAGGAGGTACTAGGGATGCCTATCCATAACAACTGCCAAACATGGGGTGGGGATAGCAACACGCCAGGGTGCAGGCTCCCGCCGCGTCGGCGGCCCGCACACCCGATTCCGCCTCCGGTATTTTTGACTTTGCCATGACACCGAAGTCAGGTGGGTGAAGAGGAGGGCGTGCGGTAAATGCGGTGTAAGTTCACTAGCATTGTAAACCAACTCACGCGTAAGTCATCGCCCCTGCGCCCACCACACCGTGGAGCACACGGTCGACATCGTCGGTAACTGTCGAATTCCTATTCCTCGGACCTAGGGGCTAGTCTTCGCCGAAGGCTTTCCCGTTATCCGCCACTTGTGGGTTTCCTGAGCCTTCTGTCCGTCTTCCTAGCCCAGTGCAGACACGAACATGCACTCATGCTTTCTCTCTCTCTCTCGAACCTGAAGTTGATTGATAGCCTTTGTCTCACGGGTACTTCTGACAGGGCGGAAAGGTGCATTTCAACTACATCTACGGTTTCGGTGTCCTCAGTTGCTTGGGAATGTACCTTCTTCTCACAATGATGACGGTGGACGGCGTGGCGCCTACCTGCGTCGCATCTGTCCTTGGATACTGCCTTCTGCCAATGTGTTTCCTCTCCACTCTGGGCATCGTATTTTCGCTAAAGTGAGTTAACTTCCTCCTCTATAACTTGCCATTTTGGCGTACCTCTTCATTGCCTATGATATTTTCCGTTGACGTCTCATATTTCTAGCGTAAAAGCCGCTACTGCTACTATCACTACTACTACTACTACTACTACTACTACTACTACTACTACTACTACTACTACTACTACTACTACCACTACTACTACTACTACTACCACTACTACGACTACTACTACTACTACTACTACTACTACTACTACTACCAATACTACTACTGCTGCTACTACTACTAGTGCTACTACTATTACTACTACTTATATTGTTACTTACACTACTACTTCTGCTGCTACTCCTACTACTGCTGGTAGTGGCTTATGTTGTAATGACCTTTTGTTGCGCGGGTTACTGGTTGGATGTGTCGACATTGCGGTGAGTCTTGAAGTGTCTAATAAGGCCAATCCGTGTCGGAGTTGTGCGTTGACAATGGGGTTTGGACGTTTCCAGGGCGTCCTCCTAGCACCCTCACTGTCGCTTTAAGCATCGCCATCGCCACTATCACTGCCGTCGTCTAAGCCAAGGCTGGAAATTTGAACTACCTCAAGATAAGAGCGACTCTTCTTTCGCTGCGCTTGTCATCCCCACCGCCTTACGCCGTTTATCCTACTTTTCTTCTTCTACTTTCCTCCGTAGGTCGCTCCTGGGGATCGTTCTAATTGTATTCGTTGTTCTCTGGTGCGCCATGTCCTCGAGCAAGCTGTTTGTGCGGGCGTTGAATATGCAACAGCAGCAGTTTCTGGTCGGTTACCCCTGTGCCCTTGTTTATGCTGTCTTTGCCCTCCTTACGGTATTTTAGCTACCCTCATTAAACACTCCTCTTTTTTTGCTGATCCCTCTTCTGCTGCTCCCCCGCCCCACCTCGTCCCCGCTGCTGTGTTGCCGACCTTGGTGGTCTCCGAGTTACTCTCAAATATATGCATGTATAGGAGAGTCTTCGATTAAACCCGCCCCTCGCCGCTTTCCTCTTATTTTCACTGGACTTGGACTCGTTTCTTGATGCTGCATTGTGCTCGAGACTCCCAAACTGGAGGCCGAATCACGGGGGGGGGGGGAGGTATGCTGAAACGTTTGGGAATAGATGTGCCAGCACAACCTAGGGAACTTTACTAGTGTGGCCAATATTACTCGACAACGGCTCCATCCTTCAAGCTGAGCTTCCTGAGGACAGATATATCTAGGACCGCAGTGTTAATATTTGGGAGTTTTTGTAGACGCAGTACGGGTAAGACGTCTTTCAGGGTTGTCCATAGGAATAAGTACCCCCCACCTTCTTAACTATATTTCAACAGAGTATCTACTTATTTGATTTAGGTAGACACACTATATCGCCACTCGAAGGGTGTCTATGTGAGCGCATTCACGCGACCAAATAGGCGATTAATAGGAAACCGACTGAAGACAAGAAAATCAGCGCAAACGGCAAGACAGCATAAACTGAAACATCAGATCTCACCATTTGTGGCCTGCAGCTGCATTAGGAAATAGGTAAGGACAAATGTCTGCGACATTGGCAACGGCGTGGGAGATGAGACAGTGAGCGCTTCCCCGTCAACCTAGTGGCTGACTGACAGAAAACCAACGAGGCACTAGGAAGCTCACTGGCATTCACTGTCTGATTCTGTTGCCCCTTAGCAGAAAATTCCCTTTATTACAACGATGCCCGACCTAGGATGTGCGCAAGACAAATCTAGGTAGGTATGAGTCAACAACGGCGGTCTGGGCGCCGTTCATTAGATTAGGAAAAAAATCTAGGAGACGGGACGAAAACAATGGATTGCAGTTTCTAAAGCGTAAGGTGCGCCTTCCCTGGCGTTGTCGCCAACAGGGCTCACCGCTTACAGCTTGAAGCAGCCGGCAACACAGAGAACAAAGGACGTTTCCAGCGACCTCGTCGGTGACTAGTATGAAACAGACTGTGGACTATGATGTTCATCGGGAATGTCATATAGGAAGTAGGCAAAAGTGACAGGGATCAACTCGGCTGGTTGGGTACCAATCTAATACGGAAGGAAAAAGAGGCTGAGTAACCGAAGTCTTAAACGGGTATTAACGTAGGGAATTACCCAAATATATCGCAACGTCCATTTCCGTTCAAATTTGTGAGCATTTTGCTTAATATAATTACGTGGACATATTTTCTGCACAAGAAAAGAAGCTGGACGAACGAGCAAAATGCACCATGTTCAAGCCGTCCCAAAACTCTCACATCAGGTTCTGTTATCAGGTTTCCTGAAATGGGTCACGTACTGCACGCAAGTGCCCGTGTGCCAACGACAGGGCGTGACACGCCCCGCGCAAATACGCGATTTTCATCTAAATAGTGACAACACACTTCACCATGTTCATTTCCGAACTACAGATGAGGACACGGCTGTAGATTGAGGGTAGGGAGCTACGCACAAAGTTTAATTAAAAACTTTTTTTGAGCTGAATGCTTGTACAGACAGCCGGTGGGCTGAATTAGGGTGGGGGCTGGACAGTCAGGTTGCACAGATCGGAGTGGGTGTCTGAGCTGACTGTGACAACCTCGTGACGCCGGACTCGAGTTTAGCTCTACAGCAGGCGGGGGGGGGGGGCGGACAGCTTCCTTGGAATTCTACGGTCAAGCTCAACGATGGAGGCGAAGGGCGCGCTTGCATCTGGAGGCAAACAAAGTGTACAGAGAAAAAATCCTACAACGCCATGGTGCAGGAACGGTGAAGACTGCAGATTCCTCGATTATTGTAGTGATAAGTTGAGGCAAAACTTCACCTCTTGAAGGAGGAGTTCATGATGAACCACAACAACAAGACGCCCGAAGAGGACGGTGTCCTCGTTGAAATCTGAAGTTTCGACCGTCGTGCCCGACAATGTCCACCGTGCGCTCTACAGCAACGGGAGAGCAGGCGCGGTGACTTGTGCGGGAATTAGGCTATAGTGAGAGTAGGCATGCGCAACATCTAACACGCTCTCTCCCCCCCCCCCCTAGGGCGCGCCATTCATTGTCAAGTAGACCAGAGGCGGGAGAAGGCTTAGGTGGCTGGCACGGCCCACCCGCACCTGAGCGTATCACCACAACCCCTGGTCCACAACAAACACTTGACCAGGATTTTAACCAACAAAAACGAGTCAAGAACGAGGAGGATGATTTAACAACCACGCTCACGACCTGTATACCCACCGGAGCGCAAGCGCATCTACCAGCATGGAACCAGGCGCCGGAGAACTGCCGGCACACACCAGGCTGCGAGGGCCGTGGTTTGCTGAATCATGACATAGCAGACACTTACAATCCTTACGGTCTAGAAGAGCCGTTGGAATCTACAGGCCATGTGTCAACGCCCTTGCGCCCTGGGTATGTGGGGTGGTTGAGCATCCGTGGGGAAATGAGTTAGTTCCTGATGGCTGTAGGTCGAGCGTTCATGTTGTGCCTGTCTTCAAGAAGAGAGATAAGAAAAAGTCCGAGAACTAGCGCGACGCAAGCCTCACCTACGTTTCGGCAAGGGTCTTCGTTATCGCCCTGCACGATTAATTTCAGTGTGCTGGACCGCAGGTATTTTTCTCATTGATTTTCAGTGCCCCTAAAAGTCCAATTATATTTCATGGAAAGCATACATACAGATATTTATTCTTTTGCTCATTCGGTAGACAATCACGTCTTCTTCCAATCCTATACTCGAAGGAAGGGTAACGTCCGGTTTTCAAAAACTTTTACAATTGCCGAATAATTTTGAACCCGCTCTGACGTTACACCTGCATTCAGGGTTTCCAAACTACAAGCCGCATAATTTCCGTGCACGGAAAACCATACATTTCTCTATGGCATTGACAGGAGACCATATTGGGTTCATAATTTAGCAGTGGATTTGATCCATATTGTTAACTTTACAAGCCACATTCGTAAATGCAGAAACATGCCGATTCATGAACGGCCATTTCACGGTATTTAACAGTTCTCCAATCAGAAACTTTTTTTAAAACCGAATTATGTCCCTCCTTCGAATATAAAATTAGAAGAAGACGTAATTTTCTACCGAATGAGCAAAAGAATGAATATTTGTATGCATGCTTTCCATGAAATATAATTAGACCTTTAGGGGCATCGAAAATCAATGAGAAAATGCATGCGACATAAGTAGTCATTTTTTACAGAGTGTAGTATTTGCATGCAGCCATCAAGAAGTTCGTTCGAAAGCTGACATCCAGAGGTAAGTTAATTATGATAGAAATATGCTGCAGGCTGATTAGTTTTAGAGCCGTACTTAATTGATCTTTTCGAATCGAAAACGCATTTCGGAATTTCCGTTGACAGTTCATGAGTTAGCCAACCTACTGCATTTTTGTCAGTTTCATAGACCTGCATTGTACAACCTTGCTGCGTCTTCATCGTTGTTGAAATTTAAGCCCTGAGATGTTACATAATTGCCGTGTCACCGCAAAGACCTACCCGGAATTGGACTACTCCGACTACATTATTCACGTATTTTAACGGAAAACTCTTTTTCTTCTAACATTTTAAACTGTTTTTCGAAGCCTAAAAGGTTACCAGCAGACACAAGATCTCTTGGCGAATTACATTTGGCTGGACCGCACAGACCCTACGGTCCCATTGTCTGGGGGCGTGCAGAGCTCTATCAAACTCCCCCGAAATGCCCACGAATATTAATGCGCCATCATTCTTGTGTGTGAGGGTGGTTGCTATGTAACACTCAATCCGATGGTGCATTGAATATGCACACTTTAATAAGGCATCCTAGATGCGCACATATTTTTCTGCATTCTAAAATACATCCATTTATTCATAGATGGCCGAAAGCAGACTCGAGTTACTTACAAATACATTCTTACGGTTTATGACCATCGGACTCCCCGCTTCCCTCACAAGAGGTGTGAAGTTTCCATGATCACATCTCGTTACCCATTCTCTAACAGTTGGAGGGATTAATTATTTCTGACTTTTTGACCTGACTTTGTGATAACGTGAGGATGCGACCCAAACTAACTGATTATAGACAGGACGAGATCTAGTACTCGAGTCTTCGAAACGCAAATTTTTCTCAGTAGAGCACTCTTCACCTACCTAAAGCTTAATCAGTAGATCATTCAGCGTATTTGGAGTGTGTGCCCTTCAAAGTGGGCCACGCGGTGGATGCGCTGGATCAACACGGAGGCCACATCGGATTCTGGCAAGCGTTATCGGATTTGCGCACCATAACAAATGTTGACATTTTGGGGTGCGGTGGCAGACCCGGTTGCACTGCAGACATCGCGCACACTGTGACCCCTGCCGCCCCCCCCCCCATTGTTGCTGGTCAAAAACCAGGTCATTCGCTGTGCGGACCAGGAGGTGTGGGTGGAGCGCCAAGGTGTGAGCTCGACCGTGCCATGCTCCTTGGCCCTTCCCCGCCTCCGGTCTTCTTGACACTGTCTTGGCACCGAGTCCAGGTGGTGGAGGAGAGGGTGCGGTAGATGCTGCGCAAGTCTACTCTTAAGTCGCCGTCCCTGCTGTCACCTTGGTGTGGAGCACACGGTGGACATCGTCGGACACGATGGTCGAACAGTGTGCGTGACTCATGGACGAGACCCAACCAAGCTGGATTCCGAGCTGGGCGTAAATGCGCAAATCAAATTCAAACATCGGCGAATGTTGGAATTCTGTCATGGTTTGCACCAACCGACGGCCGCCTGCCTTGCTGACTTAGCCGAAGTGTTGGATCGCGTCCATCGTGAGTCCCTAAGGGGGACGATGAAAACAGACGGTATGTCGGCATAACTCATCGCCCTGATCGGAGTCCACTATATCTCCACCACTGCGCG